CTTTTGATGGTTTTGTGAAAGCAACAGTCAAGAAAAACAAAACCCAAATGTCCTTCAGTGTATAACAGGTATATGATGAAACTGGTATATCTATATCATGGAATACAAATCAGCAAATGAAAAGATGAAGCATTGATACATAGAACTTAGATGAACCTAAATAAGGATATAACACTGAATATATCAATGGTTTTCAGGGGTTAGTTTTGGGGTGAGGATGTGACTATAAAGCGGTGATATAAGAGAACTTCTTTGGTGATGGTTCTGGATCCTGTTCAGGAGCCTAATACTGATAGTGATTTCACCTGACAAAATTTCTTAAAGCTGTATACCACAACAAAAGAAAGTGCTTGTGAAAACCGATGAGATCCAAGTAAGATGTGTAGTTGAGTTTCTGTATTGTACCAATGTTAACTTTGTAATTGTGCTATGATTATAAGATATAGTTGTAACATGATGTCACTAGGGAAAGCCTGTATGAAAGGCACAAGGGAATTCTATGTACTATGTCTGCAACTTCTGTGGGAATCTAAAATTTTATTTCAAAATGAAAATTAAAAGAAAACTATAAAGAAATTTAAATAAATGAAAGCAGGAAGAAAGTTTTTACTTCCAAGATACTTCCAACCAATGTCTTCTCTTTATGCTAAGAGGTGGAACTGAAGAGGGGTGCCTGGGTGGCTCAGTCAGTTGAGCGTCCAGCTTTGGCTCAGGTCATGATCTCACGGTTCATGGGTTCAAGCCCCACGTTGGGCTCTGTGCTGACAGCTAGCTCAGATCCTCGAGCCTGTTTCAGATTCTGTGTCTCCCTCTCTTTCTGACCCTCCCCTGCTCACGCACTTTCTCTCTCTCTCTCAGAAATAAATTTTTAAAAAACATTTTTAAAAAAGTGGAACTGAAGAAAAAATACATAGCAGATAAATAAATGTGAAATCAATATGAACGTATATAGAAGAGTTTCTGAAAAACATTTGCGTTGTTCATTATTGCTAATTGTGTTATATAACACCCTACAGATGAGCAGATGATTAAACTTTCAGACTTGGCAGTGAGTCATAAACAAATTCAATAAACTCAAAAAAAAAAAAAAAAACCCTTTATTAGGTTTCTGGATGGCCCAGTCAGTTAAGCATCTGCTTTTGATTTTGGCTGAGGTCATGATCTTATGGTTTGTGAGATCAAGCCCTGCATCAGGCTCTGCACTGACAGCAGCAGAGCCTACTTGGGGTTCTCTCTCTCCCTCTGCCTCTTTCCTGCTCTCTCTCTCTCTCTCTCTCTCAAAATAAATAAATTTAAAACCTAACTTTAAAAAGATCAATAAAGGTGTATTTTTTTTAACTTGAAAGAGAAGTAACAGTATTTAATAAATGTCACATATTCTCATTTGTGTAATCCAGATGCATAGGAACATTGTAATATGTGATATTATTAGACCACCAAAGATATACCATTCCCTTGCCACTGAGATCAGAATGTTCCCCAACTTTCCAGCCTGAAATATCACCTAGTTCACTCTGAATCCTCTGATAACCCAGAATCAGTATTCATATGCTCATATTTTCTCTGGACCTGCTTCAAATTACTTGGGCTCTTTTAGTGTAATTTAAAACTGAAACAATTACCAAACCCATTCCAACCAATGTTCAAGAATCTTGCAGCAACCAAACTCCCAGTTCAAATGTATCCCATGACATTAGCCAGGGTAGATATAGAGTCATATATAATGAAGCCATTAGAAAAAAAGTAAGACAAGGCAGAAATTAGTGAAACTTAAAAAAAAAAGTTGAAAAGGGAGATGAAATTTCAAGTCAACCTTCCTATTTATGCTATGTATATTGTTATCCATATTCCATCAGGCTACCAAATTACTTTTTTAGTGGACAGTTAAGTTACTTTTGGTTTCATTCAGATGTAAGAAACTAATTATCTAACCCAATCAAAGACTATAGTTGTAATTGTAGAAACAACAAAATCCCATTTGTGGAAAGATTTCATACCATTAATTTCCTTTTTTTAAGGAATTGATAGATTGAGGGGCACCTGGGTGGCTCAGTTGGTTGGGCATCCGACTTCAGCTCAGGTCATGATCTCCCGGTTCATGAATTTGAGCCCAGCATCAGGCTCTGGCTTCAGATTCTCTGTCTCCTTCTCTCTCTACCCCTACCCAGCTCTTTCTCTCTCTCCCATAAATAAATAAATAAATAAATAAATAAATAAATAAATAAATCTACACTTAAATTGGTAGATTTAAAAGTCACAACATAGGGGTGCCTGGCTAGCTCAGTCAGAAGAGCATGTGACTCTTGATCTTGGGGGTGTGAGTTCAAGCCCCATGTTGGTTGTAGAGCTTGCTTAATTAAAAATAATGATAGCAATTTAAAAATCAAAAATCACAACATAAATTTCCCTTTGGCTTCAAGATGGAGCTGATAGTATATCTGAAAGACCTTACTGAAGGTTTCTGAATATTCTTGTCTTCAACAGGATTAATAAAGATCATTTGGTTCAAACAAAGCAAACACAAAACATTTTCTCTTTGCACACAAAGGGAAATTTTGTGTACAAATTTTGTATGATTAAGAAATTAGTAATTCATTTTCTTAATCTTGGTCTTAAAATCAGCTAAATCAATCTAAACTGTTGTGGCCCACAAAGTAGAGGGAAATAGAAGGAATAATCCTGTTACAAGAAGGAATCATGCATGTATTAGTGCCTGCATCCTACTTAAATCATAGGCTGAAATGTGCTTTACCATTTGCTGGGGACTTGTTGAATGTAGGTCACAAGGAAGGATGCTCAAGCACCACATGACATTCCTCAATGGAATACTTTAAAATTGGTGTCATCTTTGTCTCAGATATATTCACAGGATCTCACATATATTGTGCTTATATTAAAATGAACAAAATGGCAAACATCCTTCCTAAGAAACTGATCACTCTATATCCCTCAAATCATTTTATGGCATCAGAGAATCAGTCTTGCCCACAAACCAAGACACAGAAAGGGCACTCGTGTACCTGATATTTAATTCCTGACTTGCTTTCTTACCAGATGCCTGAGCAGGTGGGCCCTGATTTACAATTCTAAGAATACCCTTTCCACAAATTTCCCTTTAAGAACTCCTGCCAGGTCCCAGGCCGAGAATGAAGGGCACAGAGAAAAGCAACCTGTAGCTTCACTACTCCCTCTTTGTTTGTTCCCCTGCTCCAATTTGTTCCACATCCCAGGCAAAAAGAGAGCTTCACCCAGGCAGTACCACCAGCTCCCACAAACTTCTCTGCATCCCTTCTGTTGTCACTCCTAGAAATCAGCAGAGGAAACTGCATTAATTCCTTGCAAGAGACCAGACAGGCAACAAGTCCCGATGCATACAAAGAGGAGGAAATGATCAAAGAGGCAGTGAGCGGGATATAGCAGAAAAGGGACAGCAGAGGTGGAAGGGACACTGCCTAACTTCAAACCATCTTTACCCTGTTGTCATTGCACTTTTTATTTAAATTGTGCTATGAAACACATAAAACTTACCAATGTAGCCATATTAAAATATACAATAATGTTAACTATATGTGCATGGTTATTTGTGTAAGGTCTCTAGAACCTTTTTCATCTTGCAAAACTGAAACTTGATGCTAAATTGAAAAGCTCCCCCTCTTCCACTTTCCCCAACCCCCACAACCACCATTCTACTTTCTAACAGTTTGACTATCTCATATAAGTATAATAATGAAGTATTTGTCTTTTTGTGACTGGCTTATTTCACTCAGCATATGGGCCCAAGGTTCACCAGTGTTGTTGAATACTGTAGAATGTCCTTTTTAAAGGTTGAATAGTATACCATTCAATATATATACCTCATTTTCTTTATTCATTCATCTGTTGATGGATATTTTGGTTGTTTCCACATTTTGGGAATGCTGATATTTCCTTGAGTACCTGCTTTCAATTCCTTTGGACATATACCTGCATTGCTATATCATATGGTAATTCTATTCTTTTTTTCTATTTTTAATTTTTGAGGAATGTCTATGGCTTTACATAGTAGTACACCAATTTACATTTCCAACAGTGTAAAAGAGTTCCTATTCCTTCACATCCTCCCCAATGCTTGTAATGGTCATTTTAAAAAAATAATGTTTAGCCTAATGTGTGTGAAGTAGTATTTCATTGTAGTTTTGATTTGCATTTTCTTGGTTAGTGATGTTGAACATCTTTTCAGTCTTGTATCCCATTTTAAAAATAGAGTTTGTTGTTGTTGAGAGAGAAAGGAGAGTGAGAGAGTGCAGGCAGGGGAGGAGGGAGGGAGAGGGAGAGAGAGCGCGAAAGAGAATCTTAAGCAGGCTCCAGGCTCACCGCTGAGCCTGAAACAGGGCTCCATCCCACAACACTGGGATTATGACTTGAGCCAAAATCCAGAGTCAGACGCTCAAATGACTGAGACACCCAGGCACCCCTATGGGTGGCCTTTTTACTGTTTCTTTTGCTGCTCAGCAGTTTGTCATAGCACACACCACTGCTGAGGCCTTCTGGGGGCTGTAGTCCAGAGTGGCTGAGGAGGGTGGAAGGTGGAAGCCTTTTTCTGCTTGGGTCGTGGTTGGAATCAAATTTCTACTGGATGGGGCTGGAGTGAACCACTCGCTGGTCCTCATTAGCAGAGAGATAATTAACACCATTCTCTTTTGCGTCTTTGGATAATTCCTCAAACGTAGGCTCTAAGGAAAACGCCCCCGCCCCCCGCCACCTTTGCTGGGGAAGTAGGCCACGCCCCTTCCAGCCTACCCATCCGATTCCGCTCATAGGGGCGGGGCTTCCCGCAGGGGCGGAGCTCAGGCAGGAGGGGGCGGGGGCGGGGCGTCTAGGTTTCTTGGCGGACTGCAGGAGCCCAGCGACCTCTTGTTTTCCGGCGAGGAGAAGCAAGACAACCCGTTCATGGACCGGGCGGCCGTGGCGAGGATGGGCGCGGTGGCGAGCGCCAGTGTGTGCGCCCTGGTTGCTGGGGTGGTACTGGCCCAGTACATATTCACCTTGAAGAGGAAGACAGGGCGGAAGACCAAGATCATCGAGATGGTGAGTGTGCGGCTTGGTGCGCCCGAGCGCTTGTCGGGCCGCAGGGTGTTCCGTCCGGCCTTACCTTCCCGCGCTGGCGCTGCTGGAATGCACAGGGCACACCAGGGACCCCCATTAACCCCGCGATCGGCAACCCGAGGGCCAGTAACCTGGCCTGGACCCTCCGTGGTGTCACTCCTCTGGCCATCGTTATGTCTCCATTTGAAATAGAAAGGCAGCAAATAGGTGATTCAGAAACAAGCCACCTCCTGCAGCAAAACCCGTTTCTCAAGAAATAAACTGAAAATTCTAGACTGGTTGCTCCCTGATTCTTGCACCAAACCGTTGTGACTGATCCAATTCTGACAGAGTTGTTTCTGCACCCTGGCTATAATGACTTAGGTTATGAAAAGGTGTAACTTCTCAGTGGTTAAAGAATGCCAGTAACCCAGTTAGGAGTTCAGAATAGTTTATTTTGTATTTGAATGTTATTTCTTATTGTCTCAAATTGCCAGGAAGTAGCTTTGTCTTCGTTTTTTACCCCCAAACCTCTTGCATGACATTATTTTAGAAATTTATTTTCCAATTTTATTGTAAGAGTGTTTCAAGAATCCTATGTAAGGTACATTATAAGCAATATTTGCTTCAAAGTTGGGAATGTTTTTAGTTGTTTTTATTTAAAACCCACCGAGTTGCTTTTTTTTTTTTTTTGCTTTTATTTATTTATTTACAAATAGTTTATTGTCAAGTTGGTTTCTTTTTAATGTGCTTACTGGAGTGCATAATCCCATGTTTACTCCCAATAATGTGCTATGCACATGAGCATCTGGGGTCAAATATTCATGAAAAGTAAGTTGACAGTCTACCACCCTACTAAAGTAAGATCATTTTAGGTTCATACAGTTAGAATACTTCAGCCTCAGTTACATGTTCTAATTGATCAAAGGAACTATCCAGTTGGTTGCGGTTGGCCCCAGATTGAATTCAGAAATATTTTTCCATCACTAACATTATAAGAAATGTCACCTCCCATGTCTCATATGCCAGTAATATTCCTAGGTTTTGTTTATTGCTACAATTAAATTATTTTTAAAGTTTATTATTTTTGAGAGAGAGACACACACACAGAATGTGAGCGGGAGAGGAGCAGAGAGAGAGGGAGATGCAGAATCCAAAGTGGGCTCCAGGCCCTGAGCTGTCAGCACAGAGCCTGCTGCAGGGCTCAAAGTCATGAACCACAAGATCATGATCTGAGCCGAAGTCAGATGCTTAACCGACTGAGCCATGCAGGAACCCCTATTTTTTTTTCTTCAGCTCTATACCCAGCAAATATTTTTATTTCAGAAATTTCATTTTGTTTATAGTTGCTGTCCTGCTTAGAGAACTTTGGTGGCTTTCTTTTGCCCCAAACCAAAAATTTATAACCCATATTTAGTAGGGGAGAGAACTAACTGCCATACCTTGCTGTGTATACTTAAACTATGGATTGGTCTGTTATATCACTTCTCTAAACTAAGTAGAGTTAAAAATCAATGCTTTCATAAAATCCCACAGTGATACCATCCTAAGAACAGTTCGTCGTCTTTGTGGAAAAATAATTAAAGCCATCAGACAAACCAACTTTACTTTGCAAATGATTTGTAGTAAAGAAATCAGTCAGTCTTTACATATACACATGTATACATAATATATATCAATTCAGATTATGATATATGTGCAGCCTGCTAGTAGCTTTTAAAAGGAAAAAGTTGAAAGAGTTCTCTGTTTATAATTTGTAATTTTAATAGGTTACTCTTTCAAGTGTAATAAACATTTGATTGGGAGTCTGAAAAATTGGGTTCAAATCTTAGTTTTATTGCTTTGTAATAGCTGTGATTTAGGGGTTGTGTTCTGCCTATCCCCTACCCCGTCCTTCAAACCCCCACCCTAGAGAATCTGTACAAACCTGTGAATGTCTAGTGGACATAGCTTAAAATGGTCACAAATAATGGAACCAGTGGTAACTACCTAAGCAAGGTGGGCCTATTTGCTGGTAGGTAAACAAATGACTTCTGGCACTGGTCTTAGATTATGCACTGCCTTAAGAGTTTTTAATTAAAAGGCACAGAGATGTGTTTAGTGGTCTGAAACTGCTACAGATAAAAGGTTCTATAGGGCAGTGAGATAAATATATAGAGGAAGCCTGTCAGAAGACATGCTTAAGATGTTCAGAGCTCAGAGATAAGAGAAGCCGTTTTTCATATCCATATTCTTCATTATTTTCATTTTAGAACAATTTTAAATTAACAAAATAATTGAGCAAATAAGTAGAGTCCCATCTAGTTTCCCCTATTACTAACATTTTCCATTAGTATGGTATATTTGTTGAAATTAATGAACAAATATTCATACATCTTTAAATATCCATACTTTGTTCAGATATCCTTTGTTTTTACCTAATGTCTTCTCTGTCCTAGAGTTCCATCCAGGCCACCACATACATTTAGTCATCATGTGTCCTTATCTCATCTTGACTGTAACAGTTTCTCAGATTTTTCTTATTTGTTGTGTTTGTGATAACAATAAGAAATATGAATTTGGTGTTTGTTCCAGGTTCCTGCCACACAACTTCTAAAACACTTGGACTCTAGGAAAGTTTAACAGTGTCTTTTCTATGCTAATGAGGTGGACTGGTAGCTGGGGGCCCCAAGATGGCTTCAAGATGTGAGCTGGTTGACTAAATGATCAAAACATGATTAGAGGATTAGAACTTTCAACCCCCTACCCCTTCTGTTAGGAAAAAGGGCTGGAGTTCCTGGTCGATAATTTATTTAATCAATCTTACCTACATACCAGATGTCTATAAAGACTTCTACAGGAGAGCTTCTGTGTTCATGAATAACTTGAGGTGTTCCATATTTTGCCCTATGCTTCTCTTTCATTTGGCTGTTCTGAGTTGTAGCCTTTGTATTAAACCTCTAATAGTAAGTAAAGCACTCTCCTGAGTTCTATGGGTTATTCTTGCAAATTATGGAACCTGAAGAGGTGGTTGTAAAAATCCTCAAATTTAGAAGTATGCCATCAGAAGTATAGATGGCAACCTGGGACTCATGACTGGCATCTAAACTTGGGACAGACTTGTGGACTAAGTTCTTTTCTCATAGGATCAGACACTAACTCTAGATAGTGTCAGAATTGTATTGAATTGTTGGAAGACTTGGAAGATTGTTGGTGTGAGGGAAAAAAGCCACATATTTGGTGTCAGAAGTGTGTATGAAAACAGTTAAATATAATTTAATAATATCCAACTTATGGTAACTGCTTAATAAGGAATAGTTCTAATTATTATACCAAAACACAGACTATCAGCCACTTTCATATCCTATAGTTATTTTTTTCCTTATGAACTGTAGCAGGGCATAATTTTTAACCATTGGTATTCTTTTCTCTCATCTTTATCTCTCCTAAGCCTTCATTCTAAAAACTATTCTAATTACTCCCGGAAGGATGACTTGCAATTTTTATAAAATGGACTGAAAAGATTAAGGTTGCCAAGCATGTGTATAGAAGTTGATACACATGCAGTAGAATTTTGCCCAAATGACACTAGTATTGGGGATGAACTGTTTTAGGGAATGAATTCTCCCAACCTCTCTTAAATTCTTCGAAGTTTCAAGTCCTCATTGCTACTGACCATCACTTATCACTTGCTACTCAGTTTTAACTCACTATTCTAATCAAACATGCCTGCTCAGATAGGACCTTTTCGTTCTGCAGCCTTTTTGGTTACTCTCATTTAAAAAAGATTCTGGAACAAAGCTTAAGTATTTATTGCTAGTTTTCTACCAAGCAGAGAAACCCACTCCACCACAATGTTTAGGCTAAAGGATGACGCTCTGAGGGAGGGAAATGTGAGCGTATATATCTTTCATACAACTTTTAAACTTTTTTAATGTTTATTTTTGAGAGAGAGAGACATACAGAGCATGAGTGGGGGAGGGGCAGAGAGAAGGCAGCAGGCTCCAGGCACCCAGCTGTCAACACAGTCCCTGTGGGGCTCGAACTCATGAACCATGAGTTCATGACCAGAGCTGAAGTCAGACACTTAACTGACTAACCCACCCAGGCACCCCACAACTTTTTTTTCTTTTATTCTTGAGAGAGAGAGGGAGAGGGAACTTGAGGCGGAGGTCGGGGGGGTTGGGGGCAGAGAGAGGGAGACCAGAATCCAAAGCAGGCTCCAGGCTCTGAGCTGTCCGCACAGAGCCCATCGCAGGGCTTGAACTCATGAACTGCAAGATCAGGGCCTGAGCTGAAGTCAGTGAAGTGGGATGCTTACCAACTGAGTCACCCAGGCACCCCCATACAACTTTTTTATTTTATTTTTTTTTAATTTTTTTTTTATTTATAGGAGAGAGAGAGAGACAGCGTGAGCAGGGAGGGTCAGAGAGAGAGAGAGAGTCACAGACTGAAACAGGCTCCAGGCTCTGAGCTGGCAGTCAGCACAGAGCCTGACACGGGGCTTGAGCCCACGAACCGCGAGATCATGACCTAAGCGAAAGTCGGACGCTTAACCGACTAAGCCACCCAGCCCCCCCCCCCCCCCCGTACAACTTTTTTAAAGTGAATGACACTTAACAGCTTTATTGTTTTTTACTTGGTTTATTTTTATTCACGGTCATTGCTTCCATATTTTATTCTTTACAGACTGTACTTATCTACTTTCATATTAATTTAGCATAAATATAAAAGCATTAACAATACACATCTTTGATTTACAATGGGATCATGTTCCTATAAACCCACTGTTAAGTTGAAACTACAGGAAGTCTGTAATGCATTTAATACAGCTACCAAACATTATAGCTTAGCCTAACTTACTTTAAACGTGCTCAGAACACTTACATCAGCTTACATTTGGGCAAAATCGTCTAACACAAAGCCTTTTTTTGTAGTGTAGTGTTGAATATCTAATATAATTTACTGAAAGTGAAAAAACAAAATAGTGTAGGGTACAGAATGGTTGTCAGTGTAACAGTTGT